GCTGCCCTACGCCTCTAAGTTCAGGGGAGTCCTGATGGACCCCAGAGAAACCCGCACTGTGCCAGCCAACCAACACCAACCACACCAGGGACTGGCACCCAGAACAGGACCCAGCAAAGGGGGCACCAGCCGCCCCACACCTCCAGGCCCAGCGGGGTGCCGTGTTAGCCCGGGGCATCCCCGCGGTGCCGGGGCAGTCCCGAGGGCGTTCGGGACTCACCGATGCCGTGGGCGGCGGGCAGGAGCAGCAGCAGCAGCGGGATCATGGTGCGGGCTCCGCGGTGCCGAGGGCGGGAGTGCGGGAGCTGCTCCGCGTCCCCTGGGTGCCGCCTGTGGGCACCGTCCGCCCACATTCCTGCCGCAGCCCCGTGCCAAACCTGTTGGGCTCGTTCCCCCGGGAGCTTTTGTTGTGTTTGAGCGCCCGCCGGCGAGGCGTGATGAGAACCGCTGGGTTTGGGGTATGGGTGGGTGACAGGAGGGGATGTCGCGTGGGGATGCGCCCCACAGACCCCACCCGTGGCAGCAAATGTCCCCAACACCCACACCAAATGCCACCAGGACTGAGCCCCAAGTGGCTTTTGAGGTCCCGCACCCTGAGTGGCCAAAGACCAGGAGGAGACAGCTGCAGGTGGAAAATCAGATTTTACTCGTCAGGACAGCTCATGTTTAGTGGGAGCTGTCCCCGCCTGTGGCAGGGGGGTTGGAACGAGGTGATCCCTTCACGGTCCCGTCCAACCCAAACAGCTCCAGGGTTCTCTGGCACGGAGCAGGCTGGGGGGCAGAGGGGCCCAGCCCCGGGGGGCTGCACCCGCAGCCGGGGCCCGGGGGGATGTGGTGGGTCCGGTAGGATCTGCGGGTGGAGGCGCCGGTCCCCGAGCCCCGGTGGCACAGGGAGCCCCACAGCGTGGCACTGCGGGGACACAGAAACAGAGGGATCAAACGGGGTCTGTGGGGCTCTGCACCAGCCACCCCCGGGAGCCCTTTCTGCTGCAAACTACGGCAAACCCTCAGTTTAGGAATAAAAAGGCTTTTTCAACGTAAAAAAGATCATCATTCCTTTGCTGATGGGGTTACCGAGTTGGGGTGCTCTCCTGAGGCCCTGCGGACACTGCCCCCCCTGTACCCCCCATAGCCCCCCATAGCCCCCCGTACCCCAGGGCTCCGAGCACGGCGGCGGCCAGCGCGGCCCCCAGGCTGGCCAGGATGGAGGCGATCACCACCAGGGCGCTGCCAGGGCGGGCGGGAGCGGCCTCGATGGTGCTCGGGCTGAGGGCTGGGAGGAGGCGGGATGAGCGATGTGGGGCGGGTGTGGGGTCGGGGATGTGGGGCCGGGGATCGCCTCTCCCCGCAGCGTTCGGGGTGATGGCACAGCGCTGGTGCTGATGCCACCACCCCAGCCAGGGAGGTGCAGGGGACCCACGGGGAGGGGTGGCAGTGCCACCAGTACCTGTGCGCAGGAGGATGGGCTCGGACCAGCGCGTCTCCGCTTTGGGGCCGCGGCAGCCCATCAGCAGGAACTTCACCCTGCCGGGGGGACGGGGCTGATACCGGGAGGGGACGGGGGACAATCCCTGGGTCCAGGCGGGTCTCCCCAGCCGGGATTTGGGGCTCTGGCCTTACCTGTAGGGTCCCGGGGAAGGCAGGGGCCCATTGCAGGGGTCCTGTCTGCCCTGGTCCCTGCAGGCCGTGTCAGCCCCGACCCGCAGCACGGCCGGGCCCGGTGCCGAGCACGAAAACGCGGCCGCCGCCGTCTCCAGGGTCATGTAGGAGCGGGCAGAGAGCAGCTCCTTGTACGGGGGCACCTCGGCCCGGCACTGCGGGTTCCTGAAGGCGGCCGAGGCTGCACGGCACAGGGGGTGGGTGAGCGGCTGCGGGAGGGTCCCCGTGTCCCCTGCCACAGGAACAGCGAGTGCTCACCGTTGGCAAAGGCCACCGCCAGCCAAACGGCGTCGGAGGCATCGGCGTGGCCGTCGAAGACGCAGCGGGGCCGCTCCAGGGCGAAGGTGGTGGCGGTGACCCTGCCCAGCAGGGCCATGGGGGGCACCTGGGGCACGTAGGGCAGCCGGGCTGGGGAGTGGGCAGTGAGCGAGGGAACCCCCCTGTCCTGCACTGCTCAAACTCCTGACCCCGCATCCACAGCGGTGCTGGCACACGGCAATGTCACAAGGTGCCAGCACTGGTGGGGACCCCCCAGCCATGCCCAGCCCTCCCTGGCACAAACCCCTCGCAGTCCCCCAGGCCCCGGTCCCCCTCTGCCCTGTCCCCAGGAGTCACCCAGGTCCGCGGCCGCCGTCCCAGCCAGCGCCAGCAGCACCCACGGCAGCTCCATGGCGTCCTCCCGGTGCTGCTGGATGCGCTGTCCTGTCGGCTCTCCCCGTCCCACTGCCGAGGGGACGAGCTGCCCCCGGTGCCCCCGCAGCAGGGACCGCCTGTCCCGGAGCCGGAGCCTCCCAGCCCCGCATTCCTGCACCGGCTCTGCCGGCCCGGCCGGACCCGCGGGCACAGGGACACCTGAGCGCCCCGAGCCACCGCTGGTCCCAAACCCGCTGGGAACCCTGCGGGACCCCCGGGGCACCTGCGGGGAGCCAGGGCACAGGGCAGTCATGTGAGAGGGGAAACTGAGGCAGAGGAGGCGCTGGGGCGATGTTCCAGATGGACTGGCAGGGCTCGCAGACTTTGTTGGCGCTATGGGGCAGCCAGGCAAGTCACTCTGGACCCCCACTCGCCCCACCAACACCCAGCTCCCTGCGGATGCCACCAGGCCCGGAGCCAGGCTGAGCCCGTGCCCGACCGGTTCGGGTGCCCCAGCCCTGCCCCGCGGGCAGGGAAGCGCTGCGGAGCATCACACCCGAACGAACCCGAACCAGCGCTCAGGTCAGCGGTCCCACCCAGCAGCAGGGGCGCGGAAACCTTTCCAGCTCCGGGCCCACCCCACGCTGACATTTCCCCGTCTCTCGGGGCCCTTCCAAGCCCTCGGGACGGGAGCGGGAGCCCCTCAGGGCCGCTCCCTCTGCCGTGTTTGCCAAGGGGAGCGGCTGCGTGGGAGGAGATTCCCCCCTTCCCGAGGGGCCGGGACCGCGCCTTCAGATTAAGTGGAAATGGGGCATTCAAAGATTATTGCGTGGCGCAGCTGCAGAGGGGAAAAACAGGCGCAGCTGCAGCCTCTGTCCCTCCTCCCTCTCATCTCCCCTTATCCCCCACACCTGACCAGCAATGCCTCCCCCGGGACCCCCCAAATTCCCCAGAGCCCTCCCCGGTGCTGCCCGGCCGGCAGGGTGCCAGCAGCAAGGTGAGGGCAGGGTGGGTGACGCGGGGGTGACGCAGGGGGACAGTGAGTCACAGTTTCACAGCTGCCGGTACCCAGCATAGCTGCGGGGTCACGGCTGGGCTAAGAATAACCAGCCTGAGGCAGATGAGCCATCCCTGCAGGGCTGGGACAGGGCTGGCACAGAGCCCCCTCTCCCCTCCTGGGGCTCCAGCTGGGGATGGGGACACAAAGCTTTTGGTCAGATGTGCCTGGGAGCATCATAAACATTGATCTGGGGCTCTGTCCCCTCCTGGCTCTGAGAGGAACCGTGCTTATGGTTTCTCCTCATTTTTCAAAGCATCTCCCTGAGCCTCCCACCATGCCTGAGCACCTGGCTCTGCTCCCTCCCACCTCTTGGATTCCCCTGCCATGGGGGCAAAGCCGCCTTGGTCCCAGCACAGAGAGAACGGGGATTTTAGGGGATGTGCCCAAATCCAGGGCAGTCAGGGATGAGCTGCTGAGCTGGGCTGGCTCAGCACAGCCCGGCCCCTGCCCCGGACCAGCCCAGATGCAGGGAGGGAGGCTCCAGCTGATTCACACCCAGCAGCAGCTGCTGGAGATGCCTTAGGCCAGGCTCAGCAGGAAATTCTTGCTTTGTACAGGGCTGAATGAACCCTGCTTCCATTTTTGCTTCAATTCACTGCTTTGATTGCTGGCATAAGATGATCCAGGAATACAAAGCTGAGGTTTGAACTCAAGACCTCTCCCTTTTGCAACCAGGGTTGGGAGAGGAGCAGACAGAGCCCATTTGTGCAGAGCTTAGCAACACAGACACGTCACTGCAGCTCCCCAGGAGCTGCCATTCCTGCAGCATGCCCAGGTTTCCCTGGATGGTTGAGGGGTTTCTCCTTAGAGCTGCAGGCACAAGATGGACACTGGGAAAAGCTCCACCCCTCAATGGCTGAGAAAAACCTTTAATCTTGATATTGGCATGACAGGAAGCAAAGTGTTCCTCATCTGGAGAGCTGCCACAAAGCCCAGCCCCATCCCAGATTTCCCAGCAAGGAGGTGAAGTGGCAGATGGCACCAGTGCCAAGGGGATGGATTGGGTGGATTTAATGTGCAGCTGGGTCTGGTGGCTACAGGGAGAGCCAGAAACAGCTCTTCAAAAGATATCAGTCCCCAGGTGACAAGAAAAAGACATCAGCTCCCACATGACACAGAGCCTGGGGACAATGTACAGCAAGGCCACTGGGGCAATGTCCCATTTGCAAGGTGCCAGCAGCCACAGCAGAGACAGGCTCTGAGCATTGCTGCTGGCACCTGGGCTGGCCACCTCTGCTGCTGGGAGGAAGGTGGCTGGCACCAGCTGGTGGCACCAGCAGCACAAAGCACAGCAGCTCCTCCCTGCACAGGCTTCACTGAATTGCTGCCATTTCACCTGAGAGAAGGGGAGAGAGCGACAGGTTCTGCCTCTCATCGCTGGGATGAGAGGAGCAGGGCTGGCAGCTCAGAGCCAAGAGCAGGGGGCTGCAGCTTCCCACAGGGTGGGCACTGATAAGTCACCTCTGCTGGCACCATGGCCCAGAACACCAAACTCCAGTGACCAAAGCACTGGAGGCAGTGTCCTGCTGTGTCCCCCCAGCAGAGCTGAGCTCTCCCTCCTGGCTGGATTCATGTCCATGGCTCCATGGAGCAGGCTGGTTCCCCAGAGCCACCCCAAGCCCTGAGGCAGCAAGAAGGCAGAGCAGGGTCTTGCTGTGAGAATGAAGAGTTTATTGGGGCTGAGCAGAGATACACAGCAGGAGGGAGGCAAGAGGTGCCTCAGACAGGGAGCTGATGTGTCCCAAAACAAGGACCTTGAGTTCCAAGGCACTCTCCTCTCCCATCCTGTCCCCAGGCATTCCCAAAGGAAGGTCCTGCCTTCCCCAGGGGATTTGTCACCTCAGTCCCATCCCAGCTGCTCCAGGCTGCAGCCATCAATCCCACCCAGAGACACAAGCACAGCTTCTACAAAAATATCCTTCCCTCCCCCACACCCCCCCACCAAAAAAATGTGAAGAGCGGGCAGGGCTCCCACAGAACTGTTATTGCTCAGTGTGATGGGTGGTCAGACAGGGAGCTTAAGGCATCAGGAATAAGTGCACTAGTGGCCCCTGAGGCTCACTGGCCCAGGCAGTCCTCAGTGACACCCTGGGCAGCCAGCTCTGCCAGCACATTGTCCAGGTAGTTGGGGTCGGGGTAGCCATGGCCACTGAGGTTTGAGTCCATCTCAGTCTTGTGGTGGATCTCGTTCCACACCACCGTGTTGCTCTCGCCCGTGGTGTTGGAGGTGCCCACTGTGAAAATCAGGCGTCGCTTCCAGGCCACCTTCAGCAGCTCCAGCACCTACAGGGGGAGGAAAAACAAAGCTAGGAGGCTTGTGCCATGAATGCAGCCTGTCAGGAGCCTGACAGCTTGAGAAGGGTGATGCTAGCAGGGTGTGATGCCTCACCTTCCTGCCCTTCTCATTGTCTGGCAGGTAACAATAGCGAGGAAAGCCTCTGGCTGTGTATGGCATCCCAGGGTTGGGGTGCTCTGGGCCCTGCAAGAGATGAGACAGGTTTGTCATGGACATATCCATCTTCATGTCAATTGGGCAATCCATCAGCAGCAGGATCTGAGAGAGGCTCAGCCCAAACCAGCTCTTCCATGTAGAGGCAGCAAGGTATTGTTGGTGAGTACGTGTCTGACTTGTTCTTATAGGATACAAGAGTTTTACAGATCCTCCAAAAGCATGCTGGGATACAAAGCCAGATCTAAAATCTACCAAAATTCTGGTGAGACACAGCCCCAAATCACTGCCTTTTCCACGGGCTATCTTAACACCTTAAAAAGGCCACACAGCTCAAACCTTTCAAAGTTCACTCCCACCACTGAAACCAACATGAGCTGTGAAACCAGACCATGGGATGCTTCCCACCTTGTGATCATGGACAGTCTCCTCCCTGCTTCAGGCAGACATCAGAGCAGGAAAAGATCTGATGGAGGAGACCCTCACATGTTGAAGAGCAGGCAGAGCAGCTGCCGGCTCCAGGCACCAGAGGCTGCTCAGCACAGGGCTGCCAGCAGGTGCTGCACTGGATGCCAGGAATTTTCTGGGAAGCTCTCCCAGCTTGTGCTGTCTGGCAGCAGGCTGGGCACTCACCTGGATGCCCCTGCTGATGTGATACACAATCCTGATTGTCCCACAGTCCTTGTGTCCTGGCAGGGACTGGGGGAAAGTGGAGATCTCCATCTTCCCTTTGGGCTGGGTACCGGTTTTCTCCCCGTAGATGGTTTTACAGGAGGGACACTGCAAACTGCCATCCTGCAGGGGACAGAAGCCACATCAGAGCTCCAGAGCCACCTGCACACGGGGGCCTGGTGAGGATGGGCCAGCTCAGTACCTTGTTCCCGTTGGAGTACATGGCCAGCACGCAGAGCAGGTGGAAGGAGTGCTGGCAGCTCCTCAGGCGTCCCACGGCCTCTGGCCTGATGCTGCTGGAGGGGCACGAGTCGCTGTAGCCCGAGGGGGAGGAGAGCTTCTCCATGCAGATCATGCAGTCCTGGGGAGAAACCACCAGGTGGTGTGAGCACAGCCTGCTCCTGAGGGCTGACACACCAACGAGATGCTTCAGGAGGATTTCCTTCAGCTTTAATTGAGATTTAAGGACACAGAGACACGTTTCCTGATCTGGCTGGTGTTGCTGCACCCCACTTCCTGCATTGTCCAGGAGGTGGAGAGCTGTCACCAGCCAGAGAGGAGAGTATGGTTACATCCTGCTTCTCTGCAGGATGGAAAAAAAAAGCTCCAGTGGCTCTCAGGGAAGACAGAGGGTTCATAAGCATTGGCTCTGTGGTTCAAAAAAATGGTTTGATCTCTAGTTTTGACTTCTCAGCACTGAGACCAAAACCAAACTCCTTCCTCTAAAGGAAATGGGGAGGCACTGTCAGGATGAGCTGCTCAACCCACACTGTGCCTTCATCACAGTCCACTGATGAGGACAAGTCACTGCTGTCACATGTGAGTTTTGGGCAGTGCTGAGGACTCTCCAGCTCACACCAACAGTGCCACTGCAAGCAGCACCATGTCCCACACCAGACACCCAATGAGGGATGGCCCTTGGGCACTGCTGTGGTTTCCCTGGCACCCCCAGTGAACTGGGCAAGCTGGAGGTGCTTCACTGTCCTCTTACCTCATCAGCAGGAGCTCCCTTCAGCTCCTCCAGGTACTTCTTCACCACTGACTCTGGCTCTGTTGGCGTGGCTGCACAAGGAGAGATGAGACAGACAAGTCAGACACTCTGTGCTGTGATGGGCAGCGTGGGGTGAGCTAGAGAGAAGGCAGACAAGCAGGTCACTGGCCAGGATGCCAAGGAGCAAGGTCAGGGTTAGAGGGGAGAAGAGAACACTCCAACAGATCCCTACAAGCCCAGCAAAGGCTTTGCTGTCAGCCATGGCTCCCACTAGGGCTGGGAGTGCCACAGGTCTGCTCCTGTTCCCCTCACACACCCCAAGTGACACCAGGCACATCCCAGCTGGACTTTGTGCACACCAGAACCAGCTGGGATCAAACCTGGCAGCCTTGATGGGACAGAGGCTCACACAGTCTGTGTTGTCAAAGGAGAAAAAAGGCATTTCCACACCACCCCAGCAAGGAAACCCAGCAACACTCTGAGCTTCAGGCCCAGCTCTGGATGCAGCACAATGAGCTCCACATCCTCAACATGAAACAGTGGCCTTGGTCCTGAGCTTCCACACACTCACACCCGGCAAGACACAGTGCAAGTCACTAGGTGTATAAAATAAACCAGATTTTAACATGAACCCTATTTGCAGCATGAGAGAGTATCTTTGCATCTTCCCAAATAAAACCCCTGGTCCCACCCACCCAGGCACTGACACCTGAGCAGCCCCAGCCTGGTCCCTGGAGGCCCTGTGGGATGAAGCAACAAACATCACACAACAGCAAGAGCAAATCACCACTGAGTGCATCCCCTGCCACCTCAGCTCCCAGCCCACCCTCCTGGGGCTGCCCAGCAAGGCCTGGCTCAAGGAGGGAGCATCCCATGGCCCTGCCAGCACCTGGCCCTGGGGGAGAGGAGAGGAGCTCCTCACCAGCATCAGGCCTGCCACAGAGCCTGCCAGGCTCCTCCACCAGCCTGGGACACGAAACATTGGCACAAGTGATGTTACAGCTCAACCTGGCAGGAGGCAAAGAGAGATCAGATCACTTGGCTTAGGGGAACCTCATCCTTTTATCCTTCCTTCCCAAATCCACTTCTGGGGGCACCAGGAGAAAGCAGTGCTGTGCCAAACAGGCTGGCCAAGGTGTAGCTCTTCCTTCTCCCATCTCCATCCTGTCCAGGTGGATGCTTTAGCATGGAGAGTGCTGCTGCTCCCAACTCCACACTCCCAAGAGGACACAGAGCATCACTCATGGAGCAGCCAGGGATCAGAGCTGCAGCTGTACCTGCACTACCCCTCCTCAGCTCCCCCCATCCACTCTGGGGCTCCCAGGGAAGACAGAGGGCTCACAAGCATTGGCTCTGTGGTTCAAAAAGCTGCACATCAAGAGGCAGCCTCTGGAGCTGCTATTCCAGTCCAAAAAGCCATGTTTGTCACAAGCAGGAAGGAGGGGGTGCTATTTTCTGCACAAACACTTTTCATGGAGAGACAAACATGAAGCAGAAGGGAAGTGGTGTTGAACAGGCAAAGGCCTGGATGGCACAGATCCAATCCCAGGTAAAGTCCCTCACTCCCTAAAAGAGAACAAGGCAGAGCACCAACATCCTTTAGCTGAGACTGAGGAACTGTGGGCTGGACTCTCCTAAATGAAAACACAGTCATTAAGATGGGTTATTTTCAGAAGGGGATTCCTGGCCATCCTGAAGCCTGTGATTTCTGGCAGCAGCAGCAGGAGGAAGGGATGGCTGAGCACACAGAGCAAGAAGAGGAGCCCAGGAGGTGAAGGGACATTCACTCCAAGTGTCAGTGCTGGGCAGGAGGGATTCCTGACATCTCTGGTGCTCACAGCCCTGCTCTGCCTATCTCTGGACATCCCAAGGCAGATAGGTGGCAACAGGATTGAGCATTAAGCCAAGGAACAACACAGAAGCAAATGTTTTCCTCTTCAGGGCCCAAAATCCCCTGGAAAAGCATTTCCAAGAACTGTTCCAAGAGCAGGAAACAGGGAGGAGCCTGGGCCAGCCTCAGGCTTCCACCTTTGAGGCCAAGGGTTCAGCAGTGCCAGGAGCTGCTTCAAGGCCTCATCACCAGATCTCACAGGGAATGTGGCTCCTTGTCTTGCTTTTCTTAAAGAAATTCCAGGAATTCTCTGCTGGGACCTTGCTTGCATGCAGAGGATCAAGAGGCAGGAATGAGTCTGAAGGGGATGAGCTGTCCCAGCTCTCTGTGCCTGACACCCCCAGCAGAGTGCTCTATGATGTCTGTACTCCAGGCTGGCAAACACAGGGTGGCACTTTCCACATGGGGCACTTGGAATCAGCCTCTGGAGACCTTCATGTCCTACAGGAGATGGAGGCTTCAGTTCCTTCTGCTTCACAGGTTTTAGGAAGGATGCTTCTATTCTTCTAGCTATTATCCCTCCTAAGGCCATCCACTTCCATGATGATCACTGTGTTCCCATCCCTGTGGATCCTCTGCTGCCTGACAGACAGACAGACAGACCAACACCAAGTCCTTCCCCACCCAACCTGCATTTTCCAGGTGGCTCTTTCTGAAGTGACCTTCTTGTCTCCTCTGGCTTTGGGCTGGAGGAAGCAAAGCCAAAAAGATGCACAGCCAAGGTGAAGACAGCAAGGAGGGGGTGTGACACCAGCAGCAACACCTGCCCTGCCCTTGGCTGAGAGCCCCAGCTCACCTGCCCCCACCTGCACAGCAGATCTCAGCAGCTTTAGAGCAGCTCAGCTCGTTCAGGGTGGTGGGGGATGTTCCTTCCACAGAATCCCCTGGGACTTTTCTTCTCTGGAGCAGCTCCAAGGAATAAAGATGTCACCCAAGAACTGGCCAGGCTCATTCAAATGAAGTCAATGAAAGGAGACAAAAGTTCTGGTGCAGAGCTGGGTAACAGCAAGACAGGAAAGTCCCTGGATTTTGGGCATTAGGATGGAGCTGGGGGAACCAAGCAGGCAGAAGGTGATGCAGCCCTCAGCTACCCTGAGGAAACCCATGCCTGATGGATTTGCACTGTGGCATCTGCAATCTGTCCCTGTCACTTTGCTGTGACAATGCTCTAATGCATTTAGAGCCACCAGAGCTGCCTGGAGAGACAAAGGGCTGGGCAGCCCTGACACTTCAGAAAAATCCATCCCCAGCTGCAAGGATTTCCAATTCCAGTTCCAAAGAAGAGGCTGAGAGCTCTCTTTCAGGAAGGGCAGCAAACCCACATGGCCCTCCTTGGGCAGAGCAGCACGTCTGGCTGGCCACAGCCCAGCAGCACAGGGGGAGCCAGCTGGGACCATGGCACGAGCCACGTGTGCTCCAGCACATGAATCACTTCCTTACAGGGCTGTTTACTCCATAATGAAGTGTTTGCCTCCAAATCTTTGTTCTGGCCATCCCCTGGGATCATCAAAGCCTGGCCAGTCCCCAGAGTTGTCTGGATTCAATAGTGGATTGAAAATGGACTGGAAGAATCAACCGGTGCCGTTTATCTCCAGCTGGCCCAGAGCTGTGCTACACATTTATCCAGGATGCCAAAGAATGTTTACCATTCTTTCATTTACAAAGAGAGGAATATCAAATTGTTTTTAATGCTTCCTCTTCCTCCCTGTAGACAATAAGCTGCTTGCTGCAGCAAGGGCTTTCCATGGGCAACATTTAACAGATGTGTTTTGAATCCTTGCACAGCAACCAGTAATGACTCCTTCTGTAGCCCAAAACAAGCCATATGCTTTCCAGCAGGCTTTTTTTTGATACCCTCTGCAGGCCAGCCACTGTTATTCCTAGTCATTGTCATGGACAGTCACACAGCTCCCATCACCTCTGCTCCCTGGACGTGCAAAGCTCTATCTACAGATTTCTCCATATTCAGCATTTCAGCAGGATGCTGGTCAGAGCATCCCTGTTTCTGTCTCCTTCAGCAGATGTTTCCCCATGGGAACAGCAAGATGTCCCAGCTCTGAGGGGTTCCCCAGTCCCACCCATTCCACAGGCACTGGCACAGTCTGTACCTCCAGCTGCAGGGGATAGGAAGGAGGATGAGTGTGCTCCTCTCCTTCCTCACTGCAGCACCTGCAGTGATTGCCCATCCCAGAGAGGATGAAACCTCCTCACCAGGTGGAAGTGGGTAACAAGTGACTCAGCAGAGCCAGGCAGCCCCTGGAGGTCCTTGCAAAGGTTGGGGAGGCCAGCAGCATGCACAAACAGCATGTGGAGAGAGCAGGACAAGTCACACCTGCCCTACTGCCTCCCTGCCAGGTCCCAGCAGCGCTGGCACAGGGCAGCACCAACCCATGGGGATGGCAGAGGCTGCCAGGCCCTGTGCCAGCCTGGAGAGCACAGAGCCTGCCCAGAGACTACAGCCTCCCCAAGCCCTGCAGCACCTGGCAGTGCCAGAGCCATCCCTGCCAGAGCAGCAACAGTGCTAACGAGTCCTGACTAATTAGTGCCTCTGTTTAACACACCTCAGCTTTTCACTGAGCCAGCTGCAGTTCCAGCAGCACTGCCTGGGAGCAGCAGCAGGGAGGGAGAGGGGGCTCAGCAGGGGCACTCTGCACCCATCACCAGCTGGCTGTGGTCAGTGCAATGCTGGGTTTGGTCCTGGATGCAGAGAGCTCTGTGTGAGCTCTCCATGATGGGAAATCCTCAAGGGATGTGGCCAAAAACACACAATGCAGAAATTCAGGCACAAAACGAGCCCATCTCTGTCTGCTGACAGCACCAGGGTCTGTGAAGGGAAAGAACAGGCTGGCCAAGAGTCAGGCTCAGTACCTGCACTGCAGAATAATGTTCCTCAGCCCTGAGGGGTGTTGTACAAACACAGCTTGTTCCTAGAATGGACTGAATACACTCTGTATCCCAGAAGTGAAGCACTCCACAGGACTGGCATCCCAGCCCCCACCAACAGCAATCCTGCTTTTTAAAATAACAGGGGGGATTTTACCAACCTAAAGCACTGAAAGGCTCCCCTTCTCATGGGTCAGGGTGGGGAAGGGCTGATCTGCAAGTCTCCTCTGCAGGATGAGGACAGCTGGGATAAATCCTGCCATGCTGGATGGAAGGAGGAGATGTTTGATGCCCCTT